AAAAATAAAAATTTTCCTCTAGAAGTTTGCTCGCAAACGCTTTGTTTAAAAGATACTGATTTCTTAAATTACAGAACTATATACAGGAATACATAATGTCGAAAAATCTTTTAGTTTTGTTTACTTTGAAGCAAAAATGTATGAAGTGTCCGTTAATGATTTTTAATCATTAAAATGGAAGATAATATGCAAAAATACACAAAGAAATTACAGACGCACAATGTCAATCAGCTATTTGTTTTCTCATCGATAGATGCAATGCTTGTCTCACGATTACAGATAATTATTTTGAACAAAACGTTTAATAATTACATTTGATGATTATAAAGCAATAAAGAGAATAAACCGAGATTATTTCGACATTATTCATTCATTTCTCATATTTATTCATTTCTTATAGTTCGCGTAATTTAAAAAGTCAATATTTCTTAACCAAAATATTTGCGGGCAAACTTCCAGAGGAAAATTTTGTTTGTTTTGAGGTCCTAAATTCATATTTTAAGTTTGATGGTTTTACCCAGGCACATATCCTGTATAATTGGATCCTGTATAATCTTTGCACCTTTGACGTTATAAACTCACTAAATTTAAAACTCGTGTATTTCTCATTTTTCAAAAATGATATATTTTAATTCGCGAAATATTTTGAATTTTTAATTATATATAATTAGATTAATCGCATTTCAGTCTTACAAAAATTATCGCTGGTTTCTACAAAATTATGCATAGAATTAGAATGTATTTACATTTTAATTTTAAGACGATCTGTACGTATCCAAAGACGCCGTGTTATAGGCAACACCGATACGAGGAAGCAACTAGAGTTGCAGATAGTGGAGGCTGTGCGTGAGTACACATGTATGAGTGTCGCGGATACATGCGGATGTGCACATCGTATACTTCAGGCATGAATTAACATCAATAAAATTATATTGTTGTAAAATTACTTCACTGAATCCTCAGAAGCTGGTCTCTTAATTAGTCATTTATGAATTTTTCTACAATCGTTTTTCTCATTGCGGATCATTATTCGTCGTCCAGAATTTCGTAATATAACTGCATGCGAAGCTGCATTATACCGTTCGTAATCAAAATGCATCAAAGAAATAAAATTTCCATCGTGGCGCTACGTTGCGATTGCGTATCGATTGCACAAGTCACAAGTCTTACACCAAACGTTTTTTTTTTTCCTTACACTTTTTAACGTAAATCTTCGGTATTTCCCAAAATTATCGCATGACGTGCGTATATTTTCACATCATTCGCTATTCACTACTTTGCGATATATTTATCGTGATTCTCAAATATTGTCGATTGTAATTATGTATTTTATAATTCCAATCCGCAATATTACATGACTTATTGATAAAGTGATTAATTTTATTTCCCATTGCTCATACCTTTTTTTATCGTAATACTTTTCACGAACGTAAGAAAGCAAATTTCGTTCTAATGAATCCTATTATTAAAAATTTTAATTAAAGGATGTGTGCTACTCATTTGATTGAAAAAAATGTTCGATGCTCTTTCCTATGTATGTATTTACCGAAAAATGAGAAAAGATAAATTAAAAATCGATAACGCATAATGATATGCATTATCTGATGCGTAATAGGATTAAGATTAATTTATATGTAATGACGTATTATACCATATATATTTTCTTTCTTTTTATGCCATTAGGTGTCGCGATATTTTACAAATCGATACGAGACGCCCGGCGTAACGCGAGACGTCACGTCCCGCCTATCTGAAACGATTCGCTGTACAGAAGCTAGCGCGACTTAGCGAGCGCAAGCGAGAATAATCGCAATCTCGGGACGTAATGCGCTTCATAAAAAAGCCTCGCTTCGCGTTTATTGGGGAGTACGGGGGTAGCGTGCGCTGCTGGCCGCTGCTGGGTTCAGAACCGCCGTTGTTGCACCACGTCCGTTGGACAAAAGGGCTTTGTCGAGTAGACAGTGACAGTGATGAGACCGTGATGAGTGGCAATGTCGTCGGTCGACTGTGCAGAGCAGCCCATTATTCCACCTGGCAGAAAGCTTTCCAGTTTGGCACACATCGAGTATCCAAGCGATCACTTATTATAATCATGCCGACCGCGTTGTTGTGTTGCTGTTGTTGTTGTTGCGCCGTGCTGGCCATGGCTGACATCATAGTGCTAAAAGGGGTTGGGCGGACACTATATTGGCCGTCTCTCTTTCCTCCCCCCTTCCCTTTCTCTCTCTTTCCTTCTCGACAGCAAGCTTGCTCTGATTAGTGATTAGCGCAAAATCGCCGCCGCTCGTTCGTTCGTTCGTACATCGTCCGGATGGGTTGCCAGTCTCGGCTCACTGGCTCCATTCTTTTCTCCCAAGCCATTTAATTTATGCTGAAATCTATAAATACCAGCGATACCCTTTCTACCCGCAACGGGAAAAACTGCTGGATGGCAAGCTTAACGGCTCAGCGCGGAAAAAACTGCGGCTGAGGCGAGATTTTAATGTGATACGCGAATGCGCCCGTATCGCGTTAATATTAGAGAGACGCGGAAACGATAGGGCACACTTGCCGCTAGTGTTCCATGTAATTAAACATTATGGATGAGAACCTTTACATGCTTTACATCTTTAGATTTGCAATTTGGTGTAATACATTTTTTGTCCTATAATTTTCAATGCAAAGAAAGATTTGTTCCCACTTTCCATCGATGTACTTATTTCGTCATTAAAGTCGACCTTCACGGAAGCCTTTCTTAATTGCTTCTTATCATCCAAGCTGAATTCAGCATCGCGAAACTTTTGAATAAATCACTTCTGAATAGTTTGCTCGAGTTTCGAATACAGCTCGCCTTCGTTGTTTGTTCTCTGTATTCTTCCTCTCTGAAAAAAGTCACAGTGAAACATCAGTGGTCTTTATTATCGTTTATTTTTTAACTAATGCCAGTTGTAAGACTCGATTAAAAGCTCTCCTTCAAACACTTTGAAAGACGGTATTGCTATTTAGGTCGCAATGTGGTTTCTTTTTACATAAAAGATATCGATACGATTATTCGATGCACGAAGATTCCTCGATATTCGTGCAAGACGACCCTTCAAAATTCTCCCGACAACGCTCTTGGGGTCGTCGACTTCTCCAGCGTACTCGGTATATAGGGATAAAGAAAAAGAAAGAGGTGGGAGTGCGAAGAAAGAGAGAGAGAGAGAGAGTGAGAGAGACGCAGAAAATCTCGCAGGACGCGCGAGCCCCTGAAGGAGACTCGAGGGAACTCGGATTTATTGCATAACAACCCCCTCAGTCAGCTCGTAACCCTTGGAAGTTGCGTAGGTCCGACGGTAGAGGGTGCCGCATAGGCTCGATGATCTACTTGTTGAATGGCGAGGAGAGAGAGAGAGAGAGAGAGAGAGCGAGAGAGAGAGAGAGAGAGAAAGAGATGAAAGGGGGAGAAGAGGCAGGATATTTCTGAATGAACGAACGACTGAATGGGCCGTCGCACATGGCATAGGGTACCTACTTGACACCGATCCGCAACCTCAACAATCGCCCCGACCTGTCTTCGATGCCAGCTACTGACCTTGTCATTCTGGAGAGGCGCCGCCGTTAGCAAAGAGAGAAGCACGAGCACGCTCGGAAAAAAAAAAGAAGATGCGAGGGAGAGAATCAGCGCGGGACGTGCCAATAATGCGAACGTGCGTAAGATAGAACGGGATCATCGAGATGGGATAACGAGTCAACGACTTCTCCGAAATGATGAGAGTAACGGTTAAATCATCGCTGAAGGAAAATTCTACAAAGAAATTAGATAATTCTTCTTTTGAAGAGAGAACTTTCTGTCAGCACGATGACTTTGCTTCTGACGTAAAGTCATATACGTAATGCGCTGTGGATTGCATAAAATTACAATACCTACGTAAGCTGAAAATTGTCCGACAACAATGATTTTGTTTAAATCAAGTATTATCGACGCTTATCTTGCTGACTTGACGTCATTTAATCTGACATCATCTTTTAGAAAAAATATATTTTCCTTATCACGTATTGATAATTAATACGTTTAAAGGTTTACATTAACTATAAATTTAATAATAGAATAACTAATGTGTGTATGTGTGCGTGTGTGTACATATTACATTTATATGAGTGTGCAATAAATTATATAATATAATATAATTGTTACATTTATATGTTTACAGTAAAAAGCTATTACATGTAGCGTACTTGAAACACGTGCAACTATTTACGATAGGGGATTATGCAATACTTTAACTTAATTCCATTGCGTTTAGCTCTTTCGCATATAATTTATTCCGAAATTTATATTTCTGCATTTAATAGTGGTACACATTATGTTTCATAACAATGATTTAGACTCATATATATATATAAAATTATTTCAATTAAAAAAACTACCAAATTATATCATATATCAAAGATATGTATTTAATAAATGATTTTGACATCAACGACTTTAGATAAAGTACACAATATAATATACAAAATAATTAATACGAACAAGGGTAACATTAACGACCTTGCATCAAATTATTTTTATTTGCAAAAAGACTACGATGATTAACAGGAATTAACAAAATTACCGACGCTTAAATCAACGAAATTAAAGACGCTTTTAAGACCGTTTTTATTTTAGATAAAACGTGGGGTGCGGAATCTTTGGCGTATTCGATGTTCTCGTGAAATCTCGCGATTCTTCACTTGCAGCGTTTTGTTTCCCCTCGCTTAACCACGTAGGTACCGAATTCTCCGATGGTTCGCCATCGCCATCGC